AGCTATGTGACCCAATATGACTCATGTGGAAATATGTTTAATATAATTGTACATGTATAATCTATATCAGATTGCTTGCTGTCTTGAGGAGGGGGGAAGGGAGGAAGGAAAAAATAATTTGGAACTCAAAATCTTATGAAAGTGAATGTTGAAAACTAACCTTTCATGTAATTAGAAAAAATAAAATAATATTAAGTAGGGAAAAAAGAGTGTGGTATCCAAGATATATAAACAATTAATTAATATATATGAGATGAATAACCATTGCCCAATAAATAAATGGTCAACAGAAATGAACAAGCAGTTCTCAAAAGTTGAATTGCAAAGTATCTACAACCACATGAAATAATGCTCCAAATCACCAATAATAAGAGATGAAAATCAAAATAACTCTGAGGTTTTACTTCATATGCTGCAAATTGGCAAAAATCACCAAAAAGTAGTAATGGCCAGTGTTGGAGGGCTTGGAGAAACACTAATATACTGTTGGCAGAGCTGTGAAATGCTACAACCATTTTAGAAAGCAATTTGGAATTATGCAAATAAAGTGAAGAAGAAGAAGAAGAAGAGGATGATGATGAAGATGAGGATGATGATGAGGATGATGATGATGATGATGTGTGACCAAGAGCATATGGGTTTGGCCCTCAGGGCCAAAGCTTTCTCATTTGATAACAGTTGTACTAACCTAATCTCATAGTGAGGAAAATGCTTTGCAAACCTTACAATGCTCTGTCAAATTTACTAGTTATTACACATGCTACTTTCTTCCCCTAATTAATTTGGGTACTTTATGTCCCCTTGCCCTTTCCAAATGTCATTTCCCATCCACCTCAGCCATCTGTCTTGAGCACCTCTAGCAACTACAGCCCAAAGCTTGAACTAACAGAAGACAGACCATAGTCCTTCCTCTTCCCACAATAGTTCAGGGTCAGAAGAGTGTCAGCCAAGATAGTCCTGGGCAGTGCTGACCCTGCCAGAGAAGTGGGGGGGGAGCTAACTGGTAGTAAATAGTCTCGTCCCCAAATGTTTATAGAATGTAAGTCCTTCAGGGGCTATAGATAGAAGAACAGCAGTAATGAAATGTGAGCTAGGGGTCCAAGAAAAAGAGAATCAATGTAATAACAGCAAAATCAGGCATTTCTACAGCTCTTTCAAGTTTGTAAAATTAGCATACTTGCACCTCACAACAGCTTTGTGAGGTAGGAATGGCAGGAATTATTTTCCCCATTTTACAGATGAGGAAAACAAAGACCAGAAGGCAAAGTACCTGCCTCACAGGTGTTCACAATATAGTGGAGGAGATATTGTATGAGAGAAAATTATGACTCCAAGGCTGTGCATAATTAATGCTACATTAATAGTACCTGTAGGAAGTGCTATGGGAAGGATCAGAACAGGGATGAGTAGGGAAGCCTTCATGACATGGGACTCAGTCTAGCATTCAAGGCCCTCTATAGTTTGGTTTGATTCTACCTTTCCAGAATTCCCTCACACAACTCCGTTCCGTGGACCTCCACACATCAGTCAAACTAGAGTACTCAATGTATTCATTATCTCTGTCCCATTTGTTGTTATAGTTCAGTTGTTTCAGGAGGGGTGGTTTTCAGAAGATGGAGATGGGTCATGAAAGGCATCCTAGGAGGGGGAAAGAGTATGAGCAAAGATGTGAAGGCAGGAATGTAAAGGGCATGTAAAGGGCTCTATTTCAGGTATAGTTTGGATAACAGTGAAAAACAGGACTAGTAAGGTAGGTTGGGAAAAGGTTACATAGGGCAGGGAATGAATTAATTGAGACCCCATCAGGCCAGCCACTTAGAAAGGAACTTAGTGAAGAGAGGTTTTTGAATATGGGAGAAAGGGAACAGTTAACTCAATGACCATAGAACCACCTGCAAGCTATGCCATACTGGTATTACACCTCTGCTCTAAAACTTTCAATGGCTCACTACTGTCTACCACATAAAGTTCATATTTCTAGGCCTGGCATTCAAGGCCCTTTATTGCTTGGTTCTGTTTTATCTTTCCAGAATTCCCTTACATAGCTCTAGTCCATGGACCCCCATAATCAGCCAAACTAGACCATTCATTATTCCTAATACATTCCCTCACTTTCTTATTTCTGCACCGTTTGTTATTATTGTTCAGTCATTTCAATTGTGACCCCATTTGAGGTTTTCTTGGCGAAGATACTGGAGTAGTTTGCCCTACCCTTCTCCAGTTCATTTTTATAGATGAGGAAACTGAGGCAAACAGGGTAAGTGACTTGCCCAGGGTCACACAGCTAGCAAATGTCTGTAATAATAGCTAGCATTTACATAGCACTTTAAGGTTTGCAGAGGAGAAAATCGAGGACCAAGTTAAATTAAATGTCTAGGGTATTTGAAGTAGGATTCAGTCACCTGTTCCAGACTCCAAGACTTTGCACTAGCTGTCTATCTCTAATTTTCTCTAAGGTGCTATTTAAATGCAACCTTCTCCATGAAGCTTTTCCTGATCCCTATTCCTCACTGGTAGTGTGTTCTCTTTCAGATGTGCCTAGCACATTGACTGACATATGGTAAATAAATAAGGGGAGAGGGATAGTGGAGAGCAATCAACTAATCAACAAGTATTCATGAAGCACTGCTTCCCTTTCTAAATGCTCACATACCATCCTTTCAATAGTGTAGTATACAACTTTGCTAGGACTAGATATCCAGTTCACTGGTCCCTAGTCTGAAGAATCAACTCCTTCCCTTTTAAGAAATATGAGACATCTGCCTACTTCCTGCAGCATCCTCCCTGTTCTCCATGATTCTTCAAAGATCAGCAGCAGCAGTTCTGCAATCTAAAAATCCTTTGATCTTTAACAGTCTCTGAAAAATGGCTACGTCAAGCTTATTAACATTCAGGTTACATCATTTCCACTTTGCTGATGAGTCATCTCCTAGGTCAGATTTGGGAACTGCTTCATAATGACGTCTTTCCCAGGGAAGCTGCTGACACTTTGGAATTCAGCGTCGCTCCTAAATAGTATAAGGTAATGCTCCTCTAACTGCATATCAGATCTGCCTCTTCAGCCCCAAGGCCTTCTGAAGCATGAGGTTTTGGGAAATTATCACAGATCATATTGGACATCTCCCTACCTCTGACACAACTGCATCATGGAGATGAAGGTCTCTTATTGGTAAAGCTTTCTGGGGGCTGAAAGCCAATAGCTTCCCTCAGATGCTCATTTCATTCATATATATGTATATATGCATATATGCATATATGCATATATACATACACACACATATAATCTCATATATGTCATATATGTCTCAAACTTATTAACATTCAGGGTCCTTATAAAGAAAAATAGCTATTCCTCATGGGAGGGGAGAACATAGACACAAGGTAAATATATTCAATATTATGTATTAATAGTATAATATATTAATATTATATATTTAATATATTAACATTATGTATTTAATATTACATATTGGTTCAATATTATATATATGTATATATATATATTCCATACGATATTCCTTATGTCCATGTTCTCTCCTCCCATGAGGAATAGCTGTCTTTATAAGGACCTTGAATATTAATAAGTTTAAGACATATGGCATATATTATATGAGAGTGTATATTATATGTGTGTATGTGTATATGTAAACATGTGTATATGCATATGTATACATATTTATACATATTTACATACATGTATTCATGTATGCATACATACATGCATGCGTACATATATAAAATAAGCATCTGAGGGAAGTTACTGGCTTTCAGCCCCCAGAAAGCTTTACCAATAAGAGACCTTCATCTCCATGATGCAGTTGTGTCAGAGGTAAAGAGCTGTCCAATATGATCTGTGATAATTCCCCAAAACCTCATGCTTCAGAAGGCCTTGGGGCTGAAGAGGCAGATCTGATATGCAGTTAGAGAAGCACTACCCTATACTATCTAGGAGTGATAATTCCTAAGTGCCAGCAGCTTCCCTGGGAAAGAGGTCATTATGAAGCATTTCCCAAATCTGATCTAGGAGAGGACTCTTTGTCAGCAAAATAAAAATGATATAACCTGAAACTCTCCCCTATTCATGCACTGGGACCTGCCAGGGTGGGAGGGAGTGCCAGGAAGACTGACCAGAGGACCAGAGCTCAGAGACAGCATGACCCAGAGCAAGGTCTCAACCCCAGAGTACCAGTCACTGCAGGGTCTGCCTCAGCTCAGTAGGCAGGTGGTTCCTTGCTAGGTGGGTGTGTGTTATGAATACATATGTACTATGTAAGCATGAGTGAGTGGCCCAAGTCCTTACTGAAAGTTTTCATCCAGCAGTCCAGCCGCCACCAGGCAAGGAATTCTGGGCTGTTACGGGAGTGGGGCTGTCATGGTGTGCATCACCACATCTGTGTATGAGGGAGGGTCACTGTCGTGTCAGAGTGTGTGTGGCATCTTTACATCGCTACATCTGTGTGAAGGACTTGGCATTTCCACATCTTGGGGGAGATGGGAGACATGACACACCTGCGGGAAAGAGAGGAAGGGGACATCCCCACATCTGTTCATGGAGGCTGACATCATTACTCTTATAAATGTGTCCTGTATTTACTCATCGGCAGACATGATATTTCAGCAGTAGAATGTAAGCCCCTTGGGGGCAGGAATTGTTCCATCTTTCTCTTTATATTCCCAGCTACTAGCACAGTGCCTGCCACATAGAAAGTATGTAATAAAATACCTGCAGGTTGGGGAGGAGGATATCACCATTTCTCTGTGGTGATGCAGGTACATCTGAGAAGAGGCTGGCATTTATCTGGAGAGGGAGCAGGGATGTCAGCATGGCCACATCTGCATGACCTTTGGGATGGAGGCCTGTGAATAATCTGGTGGACTACTCAGAGGGAAGGGAGGTTGACCTCTGGGCTCCTAACTACTTCAGGGGCTTGGAAGGGCCCCTCTGGCTGCAAGATTCCCTCTGGATGACAACACTCAACTGGGATGTGGTTCTATTCTAGGTAGATTTCCTCATTGAAAATGATGCCGAGAAGGATTACCTGTATGATGTTCTACGCATGTACCACGAGTGAGTATGAAAGTAACTCCAGGTTCCTCCCTATCCTCTCCATTCTTTCTCCCCTTTGTGTCTCCCCTTCCCCAGTCTCTCTCTTCTCCCTCTCTCCTTCACCTTCCTGTCTTCCCTACTGGGCTTTTGTTGCCTGAGATGAGCCTTTATTGTTTCAAAGGCTGTAATCCCTGACACTCAGTCTCCATGGGCCTCTATGCTGAGGGGAGTGGACCAGACTGGCCCATCGCCTGACCCAGTTTCCACCTGGGCTCCATAACTGTTTCTACATTGATAATACCTGCTGAGGCAGCCCCAGGAGAATCAAGGGCTGGTAATCATTCAGACTTGCCCCATCATGGAAGTATTACCAAGGATGGAGATGGGAAGGACAGATCAGGAAAACTAGGGGGACAAAGGTGTCAGAGAGAAAGGGGTTGTCTTGGGGAGCAGGAATGTGACTCAGGGCCTCAGGCTGGCTGCTTTTCTTTGGTTGGACACCTGGCTGTCCCTATAAATTCCTTCCCTCTCTCCCTACCTCTGCCTTGAAAAATACACACCATATTATGCTAGGTTCACAGAGACAAGTTGCTTAACATCTCTTCAGGGCCTTTGTATTGTGCCATTTCCCTTTCCATCTCTCCTTTGTACTACATTAATCTATCTTGTCAGCGTCTCTCATCCTCAAGAAAAGGACACTTTTGGTATCCTGTTTTTTTTACTTTGTCCCTATTCCTGAAAACAACAATACGATCAACATTACTAAAACACTCCTCCCTGACCACTGCCCCACAACGTGCATTGTCTTCCCCCATTAAAATGTTGGTTTCTAGCATTTGGATCCCCAGTGCTTGGCATAGTGCCTGGAAAAATGCCAAAACCAAATAAATGTTCTTCCACTGTATTTCCTATAAGGGCCATGGATGTCTCTGTGCTGGTGGGTGACCTGAAGTTGGTGATCAATGAACCCAATCGCCTGCCCCTGTTTGATGCTGTCCGGCCCCTGATCCCACTGAAGCACCAGGTGGAATATGATCAGCTGACGCCCAGGCGTTCCAGGTAGGAACAGATTCAAGGAAGTGATGGGGAAGGTAGGTAAGGCATGGTGATGTTAGAGCCCAGTGTCAGGCAGGGACTTAGTTATTAAAGTCAAGGAGCCTTCTCAATGCACAGATAGGAAAAACAGCTACATTAGCTAGATAAGGAAGGGGCTGCTGTGTTCAGGACTTCTGTTTCTGGGGTGACAGACGTCTTTGTCTTCTCCAACAGAAAGCTAAAAGAGGTGCGCTTAGACCGAACGCATCCTGAAGGTCTGGGCATTAGTGTGCGTGGAGGCCTGGAATTTGGCTGTGGTCTTTTCATATCCCACCTCATCAAAGGAGGACAAGCAGACAACGTCGGGCTCCAGGTGAGTGAGGGGAGACCCTGGTAAGTGGCGAGCCCTAGAACTTCCTAGCTATCTATCTGTTCAAGACTATTAAGATCCAGTAGGTTCTGAATTCAAATGTAGCCTCTGATCGTGTCATTGGGTACAGCTTTTCCCCCATTGTGAAGAAGGAAGCTCAGAGTCAGTCCATCCTCTAGCAGGGTCATTACACTAAGACAGTTCAGCTGGCTAGTCCAGACTCATAGAAATCAGGCAATGGCCTTCTTCCTATGGTTCACACAACACTCCATCTTCTGCCTCTCTGTCTTTGCCTTGGCTGTTTTCATGTCCAAAATGCATGTCTCTCTCACCTCTGTGTCTCAGAATCCTAAGTGTTGGTCAAGCCTCAGCTCCAGCACCACTTCCATGAAGCCTTTCCAGATCTCCATGTGCCCTGCCCCACCCCACCCCCAGCTGCCAGTAGTTTCTTTCCCAAAACCATCTCTTTTGACTTGAGTGTAAATCCACAGCTATCTTAGTTATCATTTCTCCAGGAAGGTGAATCTATGGCTCAAGTCCAATCATGGCCAAATTTTGTCTCACTTCCAAAGGTGCCATTTGATCAGAAAACTTGGAGGTGAGGGGTAGGAAGAGGCTATCCATTCAAAACCTACCCGTATTCTTGTCCCCATCCCACCCCCCAGCATAGTGATCAACTCGACCCATACACTCCCACCTGGCCACCACTCCCCATATATGTTCTCTTCTCCTATTAAAATGTAAGCTCACATCTTTATAGCTCTGGGGAAGTCATTTAATTTTCCCCAGGCTCAGTTTCTTCATTATTAAAATGGGATATTAATAGCATCTCCCTGACAGGGTTGTTGCGGGAATCAAATGAGATACTATTTGCCAAGTGCTTTGTAAGCCTCAAAGGGCTCCATAAATGCCAGCTATTTTTATTATTATTATTATTATATATTTTGTATGTGCCTATTTATGTACCCTTTTGTCTCCCATGATAGAAATAGATTTCTCAAAGGCAAGGTCTGTTTTCTTTTTTGCCTTTGTCTTATATTCTCAGGCATGCTGTAAGTGCTTAATAAATGCTGATTAAATGAAAAATCCTCTCCCCCCCCCCAGCCCAAGTGACCCCTGCTGCTACCTTACTGCTCCAGTGCTACAAGGCTGGATAGGGTGGCTGAGGGCTGGAGGCAGCGACTATAGGGCCTGCTTCGAGACTGGCCAGCCCTTCATGGCTGCCACAAGTCAAGCCCTCCCAGGCATGGATAGAGCTCTGAGCTCAGCCTCTCACAGAGTTCTACCTTGTGCCTGAAAATACAGGAGACCCTCAGACTTCTTCCCCGGGCTCCCAGGAGAGTTTTTGAGTAACATCTGAGGGCCCCTGGCTGCTGAAGAGGGGCTTCAGGCTCAGGCTTAGGAGTCAGATGGCACATCATACCGTGTAGCCCAGAGCAAAAGCTGGGAGCTGACAGACGGCGCTTTGTTCTAAATCGCTGTCTCATCGTAAAGCCAGCAGCTTCTGAAATTTCACCCCCTGCATTATTTCCCTACATCCCGGCACATTTTCTAGACCAGAAATGTGGTCTGAGAAAGGACATAATAACTTGCTATCATAACATCACCCAGGGCCCCCTTGATTTCCGCACTAAGCTCTCTTCCCAGGGTAATCACTCATTAGACATTTGAGGCATTGGGAGGGACATGGGGCCGAAACTCTGAGTTTCTGCTGTCCTTGATGTCTCTCTGCTTATTAATTGGCAAGCTCAAGGCCTTTCACGGACTAGTATGTTCCATCTTTCTTTGTCCCCCTCTCTCAGATATTCATATCTGTGGCATTTCTGCAAAGGGCTTTTCCCAGGGTATATGAGAGTGAGTACAAGAGAAAATTAATCTAGAAACCTGAGCTGGCATGGGTGGGAGGAATAGCGTGAGAGCCACTCAGGTCTGGGATTGTGGAGTAAGTTTCCTTTGGGAAAGGAGAGAGGAGAACTCAATGGGAGTCTGGAAAATGTGAGTTTCAGCCTGCTGGGTATTCATGTTTCTGGGTCAATGATAGGGGAGCCAGTGAACTCAACACTCAGCTAGACGGCTGTGGCGGAGGCTTCTCAGAAGCCAGACAAGCAACAAGTCTACCTCCTTGCTGTGATATTGAATGTAGTCCAGTTCTTCCAGGGAGGTTGCATTTAGGCAAGCTTGCAGGGGCCAGTTCCCTGTGGGCTCATCAAAGTATGTTTCTCCATGTCGATTTTCAGGGACATCACCATTTATTAACCTAGGGCTCATAGGACCATAGACATAGAGCCGGTCTTAGCCATCCTGATGCCTTCATTTTACAGATGAAAGAGCTAAAGTCTAGGAGGGTTAAGTGATTTTACCCAAGGTCACATAGAAGTAAGCTTCCATTGTGGGATCTGAACACCGGTCTTCTGGCTCCAGAGTTGGCCTTCATTCTACTTGACCCACATCTTTCTCAATATCATTCAAGTATCCCTGGCAAAAACAAGTCTAATTTGTTGAGTGACATAGGACTGATCATTTAATTTCTTTATGGCTCCCCAAATTGGTAGAATAATTGGAGAGAATATAGGCACGTCAAGTTTGGCCCTTATTCCCTCATCCCTGACCCATTCATCACCCGAGGATGGGCACATTCAAGGCTTCTGGCTGAATTAAGTGAACCAGGAACTCTCAGGTTCTTTAAAGAAGAACCTTTTGTTCTCTTCAAAGTCAGTGGTCAGAGAAGGTGGAAATCACAGCCCCAGGCCACTAGAAGGGTCCTGAAAACGAGAAGGAGATAGAATGGTCTGCATCAAGAAAGTACATGATGGAGCTGGATTTTAGGGATAACACGGGAAGGACATTTCTGACAGGTGGCCCAGGCTTGAACACTTCCAGTGCTGGGGAGCTCACTGCTTCCTGACGCAGCCCATTCTGGTTCCAGATAGTTGATTGTTAGGAAGTTTCCCCTTAATTGGAGTCAAAATTCAGCTCCTGTAACTTCCCTCTGTAACTGTGAGTGCTATTCTCTGGTCTTTAGTGGAACAAGCCAAGTCTCTCTTCTATATGACTCCCCTTTAGGCACTTGAAGACAATGATCATTTCTCCTCCAAATCTTTCCTTCTTCAGGTTAAACATCCCCAGTTTAAACATTGAATGTTCGTGTGGCCTAGTTTCCAGTCCTTTCCATTAATCTAGAGTCAGTGACCCTTCTATGCCTTCTAATTGTAATTCTGTTAAGACAGCATTGCCTTCAGCCCCTGCCCTAAGGCTATGGGGGTACCTTTAGGGCGCTTCATGGAAAGAATTCCAATCCCTCCTCACATCTAATTTATTTTTTGTTTTGCTTTGTTTTTATTTTTTATTTTAAAATTTATTTTCAATTTAAATACAAAATTAAGAAAAGAAAAAAAAACATTGCCATGTACATAGCAGAACATGAGAGGATTCAATATAAAGCAATACATTTCCATTTGAAGAAAACCTATAACAAACACTACACATTATTTTCAAAGCTGCCTAGCTTTTCTTTGCTTCCTTGTATGTTTTCTTTTGTCCTCTGCTGTGTGCTTTTTACTTCATTTTTCCCCTCCCTCCCCCGACAAAAAAGGCTACGATTAAGCATGCATATATATGTGTGTATGTATATATGTATACACATAAACACACATATATACATACATAGACATAGACATACACAAATATACACATCTGTATACACATATATACTCAAACACATATATGTAGGACTGCATTATGCTTATTTCCACCCATCATCTGTTTCTCTGAGGGTAGAAAGCCTCTTCCTTCATAAGTCTAAGTCTTTCCATATTTTTCTAAATCTACCAGCTCATCATTTCCTAAACCACAACAATATTCTGACCCAATCCCATTCTATCTGGGAGATTGTCTATGAGAGTTTTTTTCCCCCCAATTTTCTGCATTCCCTCTATTCTTGGCTATATGGGTTTTATTTATATAGAAAATTTTTAATTTAAAATAATCAAAATTATCCATTTTATACTTTAACACTGCTCTAATCTTCTAATATGGTTTAAGGTCTGATAATACTTTGTGTGTATCTCTCATTTTTATATCATTTACTGTAAGCAATACATTGTTGAATTCAAATTTTTAATCTGCTATCAGTTTTCATTTTATGGGTAAATTCATCCCATTCACATTCTAAACTATAATTACTTGTTGTATGTTTTCCTCCTTCCTAGTTTCTTCACTATCCTTCTCACCCTATTCATATCCCTCCTCACTCCTCTACTTTCCTTCTATCCACTTCCTTGTCCTCCTATTCCTTAACCTACCACCCCCTCCAAGAATCCCTCCCTTATCCTCTCCCTCCACCCTATCCCTTTACCTTCTTATTTCTTTCTGAATTTAGAATATTTTTATACCTTTCTAAATATATATGTTGCTCCACCTTTATTCCATTCCCATTATTCTACACATCCTTCTACACCCCCCTTATCCTATTTCCTATCCCTCCCTTATCCTCTCTCCCCTCCCTATCCCCTTACCCCCTTATTTCTTTCTGAATTTAGGAGACTTTTATATCTTTCTAAATATATATATATATGTATATATGTATGTATGTATTGTTCCCTCTTTAACCCATTCCCAATGAGGGTAGGGTTCCAGACCTTCCTGCCCTTCTCCCCCATCTAATTCCTCTGTATCAGTGTTCCTCTTATACCTCCAACCTGAGATTTTTCTTTGGATCTTCTCTAGTTGTCTCAGAAGGACTACTGTTCTGCCCCAACTCTTATTTATTTTTGCTGCTCTACATTCACCCTGAGACACTATTTTGTCTTGTTTGCGGAGGAAATCTAGAAAGCTTGGAATTTGACCTATTCCACCATCTTCCCAGAATCTTCTCCCTCACATCTAGTTTAGACTTGAACTATAAATTGATACATTTATTGAGTATTCCTTACAGTAGAGGGGAAAGTGGTCACATGTGTCTCCTCATATAGAATATAAACTCCCCGAGGACAAGGAGTGGTTTCATTTTTGTCTTTGTATTGCCATTACTCAGCACCAATGCCTGGCATGTAGCTGATAGTTAATTGTTGAATTGGGGAATGCAAGTGATATAAAAATATAACCACAAAAAACACTGATTTTTAAAATTTTTTAATTAAAAAATACTTGTCAATATATTATCCCTGATGGAGTTTTGAGGGGTCATATGTAGAAGTTTCCCATCCCATGTTACCAAGATGTGACCATTGCTTGTACATCCAATACAACCATTGGTACAACCATTGGTTGTAACCAATAGAATGTAAGCTTGAGAACAAGGAATGTTTTATTCTTGTCTTTGTTTCCCCAGGATCTAGTATATAATGCCTGGAATATGGAAGACACTTAATAAATTGAACTGTTTACAGAGATTAAGGAAATTTCTTGTTTGGGAAGAGTGGGAGAAGCCAGGAGGGTTTTTAAGAATAAGATTAGCTCATCTTTCTGGGGTGGTTTGGGGAACAGCCTTCCAAAATACAGTGAATTGGGACCAGGTGATAATGTTTTAAGGTCCCTTCCAGTGCTGGGCTTTGTCAATTTGATGACAAAAGGTGACTGAATTATGAGCCTTCCCTAGAGCACAAAGGCACTATTCAGTGTAATTTGGTTCATTTGGCATGGTGCATCCACTGCTACAAGATCAGGCTGCAGTATGGCATAGATAAGCCCCTTCCTCAGAATGACCCTATGAAACCTACTGTGGCACATCCCCTGGCCTTCCCAGCCAATCTTTTCCCCTCATGCCACCTTTTAAAACAGCTCCCCAAATTCAGTCTTCCCCTCGTTTCTTGCCAAGCTTGGTGATGAGATCGTCCGGATCAATGGATACTCTATATCTTCCTGTACCCATGAGGAAATCATCAACCTCATCCGAACCAAGAAGACTGTGTCCATCAAAGTGAGGCGTGAGTACAGTCAGTGCTGGAATTGGGGATGGAGGCAGAGTCTTAGTGATTGGGCAGAGAGGAGCCTGGGAGGGAGATTGGGAGGATGACTGTCTTCCTTACTCATATCTTTTCCCCTACAGACATTGGCATGATCCCTGTGAAAAAGTAAGTGGTGGACCAGTCTTCCTTCATTCTGCCTCCTGCTCTCCTATCTCCGATCTGCCTCAGGCCTCCAGCCCCTACTCTCAGCTGATCAGGGGCATTCATTCAACCACTAGTTTGTGCATTTAATGGGTGCCTTTAGCTTTTTGACACTGTCCTATAGGAAATGCTGGGGTAGTGTTCTACTTTGATAGATTTGATAACTATATAACCAACTCCACCACCATCCCACTCCATCAAAGATAGCCCTTGGACTATGAGGTCTCCAGATGCGGAGCAAGGCTTACCCAGGGGTGGGTACATGCCATCAGCAGCTGTCTAATCACCATACATATTCTCCCCTCAGTTCTCCTGATGAGTCTCTCAAGTGGCAGTTTGTGGACCAGTTTGTGGCAGAGTCAGGGGTAAGAAGTATGATGTCTCACCTTAGGATAGGGAATAAAGCAGGGGTCTCCTAATATAGGTCATGCTTGGCCAGAGAACAATTTAGCCTGAACTGGGCTCCTTTATCCAGATGGACTAGAGACTACATTTGTTAGACACGAGTCCCAGGGACCAAGAGCTAGGTGAGGGGAAGATGTATTCCCTGTGAACACCAACTTGGATAAGGTGTTCCCACTATGGATGACCCTTTGTCCAGAATGAGATATATACAACTTGGCCTTTAAGCAAAGTAATGTCTCTCCAGAGATGATGAGGCTTGGAGTAGGCATCATAGCTCAGCCATTGGCTCAGGACAGAGTGGATGGATGGATGGATGGAAGGATGGATGGATGGATAAGAAAGCATTAATTATTTTCTGTGACTCAGAGAAGAGGTGAAGGGACCCCTCCTTGCTTCCTGAATTGACTTTGCCTTTCCCCTATGAGGCCACATGCATGCCCAGGTCCAGAACCACATATCTAATTCCTTTCTATTATTACAGGGTGGAAGGGGTGGTCTGCCCTCTCTTGGAAACCGAGAACACAGAGAGAAGAAAGTCTTCATCAGTCTGATTGGTTCTCGAGGCCTGGGATGCAGGTGGGTAGTGGTCACATGGATTATATTTTTAGGTAAGGATTCCATTTTATCACTCTGCCCCCCACACAACTCTCCTCTCTCATTAGCTCTTACTGTTTTGCCTAAACACCAAAATGAGCAATTCAAATCTATGCAGAGCTTTCTATTAATAATAGTGGCACATTTATGTAACTGTTCAGGCTTAATAGGACTTTCCTTGCACTGACCCTGTGAGATGGGTAATGCAAGTATTATTTCATAACATGTGAATAAACTAAGACCCAGAAAAGTGAAATATTTGGCAAAGGTCATATAGCTTTCTAAAATTCAAGTCCAAGATGTGAAGGTAGACGTTCCAGCTCCCAGCCCTATGCCACATTGTAGTAATTGCTTTACAAATAAAAAAAAGGTGGCAATGTATACCCCTAGCCTCCCCTTTCTCTCTCTGTATCTCTCTCTGTCTCTCTGTCTCTCTGTCTCTGTCTCTGTTTCTCTCTCTCTCTCTGTCACATACATGCACACACACACACACACACACACACACACACATTACCTGCTCTGTACAGAACATTATACTAATTAGTGTGGCAAGGATACAGAAACATATGAGACAATTCATGTGTTGAACATACATGGAGAGGGCAGGCTAACAATCAGGTGATTATTCAGAAGGTAGTTCTCATTCCTGGGACTATTGATGAACCTGGCAGGTAACTAAGAGGTTGTGGGAGGAGAGAGAGGGGGACTGTCTATAGCGGATAGAGGGATCACGCCCTCAGCCTGCCCTTCTGATCTGTTTGTGCCAGCATTTCAAGTGGCCCCACCCAGAAGCCAGGCATCTTTATCAGCAACGTGAAGCCAGGTTCCCTTTCTGCAGAAGTTGGACTAGAGGTGAGTGAGTGTCCCCCACCCCCCCTCATCTCAGCCCTGCTTTCTGTACTGAGGTCCAACATCTGTATGAATGACCCCCATAAAACTGAGACTAGGACAGAATTGTTCTCCTCCAAACCCCTTTCTATAATAGCCTTTTCCCAGCTTGGTAGTGCCCAATCCTCTTTTCCTTCCCCCAATCCCTTACGCTGTATTAACAGTCCAGTTTTTGCCCTTGCCCACTCATAGCCTGACCTCAGGAAAGAATGTAAACATCTCAGTCACCCTAAAGTGTTTGAGTTTGACAGGGACCAAACACTGCCACCTACAGAACAGCAATGTCTTGAAATTACTGATTAGAGAGTATTGAGAATCTTGGCATGGACACCATCACCATCACCTGGTGGCAGCATACCTCAATTACAGGTTTGCTTGTTTTGAGCGATGCCAGGTATCTTAGGACATGTGCATAAATACCTGGCATCGCTCAATTCATCGCTTCAAGAAGTTGAAATCTGGCACCTAAATATAGGAAAAGACTATAGCAAATGTCACAAGGGGACAGAATTTTAAGCCAAATAACTGAATCTCTAATTATAGAATTTCAGGCATGAATGAGTAATTGGGAGAGATATTTTGGAGGCCAGCTCCACTTGGCCCTGGAACCAAGGAGGAACTGAAAGCCCTAAGTCCTCAAGATAGCTTCTTCCTGAGGCTTGAAACACAAGGAGAATTAGCCTTTATGTTGTCACCACCAAGCCCGTTTCCTAAACATCTGAAATTGACAAGATGGGAAGGAGATTTTAAAGTTTATAAATGACACAGGACCATAGGATTCAGAATTAATAGAGTCCATAGTGACCATCTTGTCCAACCCCCTCATTTTATAAATAAGGGTACTTAGAGATTTACACTGACTTACTCTGTCAGGACTTGAACACAGGTCCTGACACTGAATCCATCATGCTTTTCTCCACACCACTGACTCTCACAATAGTTATGCTTCATTACTTCCCAAGACAGGAGATCAGATTGTCGAAGTAAACGGCATTGACTTCAGCAACATGGATCACAAAGAGGTGAGATACATTTGTTAGAGGAGTTCATCCTTCTGAAGTTGTCTTCAGATCTCTCTATGCCCCCTCTCTCCTTCCCCTATTCTCTCTTTAGCAGGAAAGCTGCTTTCCTAGACTTTAGCTGACCATTCTTCTATCTTTACAGGCTGTGAACGTGCTAAAAAGCAGTAGAAGCCTGACCATCTCCATTGTTGCTGGAGCTGTAAGTCAAAAATGACCCAGTGTTCCCCATGCTCTGCCCCTGTCTGGAGCCTCTCATCCCTCATGGTGTATCCATTGGGAAATGGTCTGACTTGAAAGGGCCATTCATGGGACAGCTATGTGGTGCAGTAGATAGAGCTCCAGCCCTGGAGTCAGGAGGACCTGAGTTCAAATCCAGCCTCAGATACATGACACTTACTAGCTATGTGACCCTGGGCAAGTCACTTAACCCCTGATTGCCTCACAAAAAGAAAAGAAAAAAGAAAGGGCTGCTCAAGGTCTGCTTCCTTACCTAAAGTTTGGGAAGAATGTCCTTCTCTTTGCACCCCCATCCCACAGATAAATATGGCCTGCTTTGAAAGGGGGCATGGGCCCAATATTGTCCCCCGCAATGACCAGTTGGAACTCTCAGTAATGACCAGTTGGAATTCTCAGCAACCTGGGGTGAGCAAGATCTCAGCTGTCAGGGAAGGACAAGTGTCAGCAACAGCCAATATTTCTTACATAATTCCTAGGAACTAGGCTCCAGGGATAAGAAAAAAGGACAATGGGTCTCTGCCCTCAAATAGCTTATTGTCTAGTAGGAGGGAAGGGACATGTGCATAAATATCTATAATCAAGTCAAGAAAGGATTAAGGGCAAGTAGAATCCAAACTGGCCTGAGAGATTCACAGTGGTAAGAGAGAGAGAATCACTTCTTGTTAAGGAAGATCAGGAAAGACTTTCTGGAAGAGGTGGCATCTAAGGCAAGAGAAGGTGATCACCAGGTAGGAGATGTGAAGGGAGTCTGTCTGTGAAGGGTGGAGTACTGGACTCAAATGCACCAAGGTGTAAAAGGTGCAGGTCTTGATCAGGAAATACTAAGTCTCCCAATTTAGCTGAAGCGTGGGGTATATGAAAAGAGGAAAATGAAATGACACTGGAACTAGAGAATGGATGACCTTGAATACCATTCAGGAAGCAATAGGGTGTCCCTGAAGGTCTCTGAGCAGGAAAATGGCATACCCTTGTCCCATACCCTTTGACATTCCTCCAAGATTCTGTCCTGGGACCTCTAGTCTTTTCTTTCTTCACTATTTTCCTGGGTGATCTTACCTACTCTCGTGACTTCAATGATCACTTCTATAAAACGTAACTTACATATCTAGATCTTTATCTCCACCTTTCCCCAGGTCTCCTGTTCACTTGTCTAACTGGATATATGAACATTCATCCATTCATCAGGAGGTCATGCTAGTACCTCAAATTCAAACATGTCCCACACCTATCTCATCATATTCACAAAACCTGCCCTTCCCCCTAACTTCTCCATTTCTGCTAATGATACCATCATCTTTCTAGTCAGGCATGTTTGGAATGTAAGTGTTAATTTGTCTTTTTCTTCTCCCTCATCCCCCATCCAATCATTTACCAGGTCCTATGAATTATGCCTCCAAAATATCTATCACATAATTCCCCCCTAAGCTTCAACCATAATCATCCTTATTAAAGCTTCTTTTCTCACCTCAATTAATGAAACTGTCCCACACCTGGTCTTCTGCCTCTAGTTCATCCCCTGTCCTAACTATCTTTCTCAACTTTGGCCAGAGTAATTCTCTTAATGCACTGCAATGAACTACTTTCCTTCAGTGGCTCCCCATTGCCACCTATAAAGTCTGATCCTAGGGTTCAATCTCTCTCTACCTTCTGGCTCACACTTAGCTCTTCAACCCTATCTCCTACTATTTCCCTTCACAGACTGTATGTTCTAGCCAAGCTCAGCTCTACTCTCTTTTCCTGCATTCTTGTCTTTCTCCCAACTCCATATCTTTGCTCATGAAATCCTACATGCCTCCATACTAATCTCAGTCATTTGAAGTCCTTCCTTTACCTCAAGGCTGAATTCAGATGCCATCTCCTTCTTGAAAAAGATCTCCCCAATGCTCCCTTCCCCCTCTTGATAAAAATAATCCCTCCCTCTTCATATTTCTCACCACATTTGCCTGGCCTCCTTTTTGTACTCATCTCGCTTTCCCTGTTTGCATCCATGTCTTTCATCCCATAAGCTCTTTGGTGAACAGAGTTTGAGTCACAGCTATTTTTATGTCCCCAATATCCAGTATAATAGGCATAAGCACAGTGGGCAATTAATAAATATTTGTTGAATTTGAATCAACCAACAAGCATTTATTAATCAGCTACTATATGGCAGGCACCATGCTAGGTAATGAGGATACAAAGACAGAAATGAATAGTCCTTGCTTTCAAGAAACTTACATTATACCAGATGGTCAGACTTGGTAATTTGTAAATCTTAATGCTCAGGATGCAGCTAAAGTTCTGCCACCATGTGGATGGATTGAAGGGAGAGTGCCTAAAGGCAGAAAACCCAGTTAGGAGACTATTAAAATAGTCACAGCTAGAAGTAATGAGATCATTAAGTAGGTGGTAAGGAGTGGGGAGGAGAGGTGATGGATGTGAGCCAATGGCAGGAGTTTAGAATCTGATTGTATAAAAGGTAGAGAATTTGAAGGAGGAAGAGGGGTCAAATAAGACTTCACCATTCCAAGTCAGAGTAACTGGAAAGATGGCAACATCATCAAGAGAGACAAGGAAGTTAGGTGGAGCAGGTTCTAAGAGAAAGGTGATGATGAGTCAGGGATAAATAAAACTGGTGACAACGCCATGGCCTGAAGGCTTAAAGCCATCCTTATGTCCCTCCCTATCCCCTAGGGTTGGACCAATGATAAGATTTTGAAGTATGGAAGACTAGGGTAGCATGAATGTCCATGAGAATTGGGAACCTGGGAAGGCATTCCACCATAAGCTGATCACCATGGAATTGAACAAATTTCTCCTTACACTGAAAGGGCCGGGAGCTCTTCATGACAGAGCGGGAGCGACAGGCAGAAGTGCGACAGCGGGAGCTGGATCGGCAGGAGCTGATGCTGCAGAAGCGTCTGGCAATGGAGTCCAATAAAATCCTCCAAGAGCAGCAGGAGAAAGAGAGACAGTGAGAACAGAGGGCCCCGGGGCAAAGGCTGGGGCTGGGAGCAGGAAATGGCATGCCCCATGATTCTGTCCTGGGACCTCTTTTTTTCTCTCTCTTCACTATTTCCCTGCTTTCATGACTTCGGTGATCACTCCTTTAAAACTATCCATTCTTGTCTTCTTTATCCACCCACCCCAGCCCCCTGCCCTTGATAACAACTATTCAGAATTAAGCAAAACAAATCCCCCATTGTTATTGTCCAACAACGTGTGCCTCACCCTGCAGATTTGGTCCATTGCCTCTGTCAGGAGGCCCAGCATTCTTCATCATCAGTTGTCTGGAATCACTTTTGATCATTGTGTTGATTAGCATTCTTCCAAAACTGTTCATTTCTATAATGTTGTTTTTATTGTATAAATTGTTCTCCTGGTTCTACTCATTTCACTCTGCATCAGTTCATACAAGGTTTTCCAGGGTTTTTTTTTTTTTCTGAAACCATCCCCTTCATCGTTTCTTGGAGCACAATCATGTTCTATCCTGTTCATATGCCCTCATTTGTTCAGTCCTTCCCCAGTTGATTGACACCCCCTTTAGTTCCCAGTTCTTTGCCACCACCAAAAGAGAAGTCATAAATATTTTTGTACATATGAGTTATTTTGCTTTTTCTTTTTCTTTGATCTCTTTGGTGTGTAAACTTAGGGATAATGTTGCTGTATGAAAAGGCATGTACAGTTCAGTAACTTTTGGGGCATAGTTCCAAATTGCTTTCCAGAATGGCTAGACCAATTTACAGCTCCATCAACAGTGCATCGCTGTGTCTGTTTTCCCACAATCTCATCAAAATTTATTTTCCTTTTTCATCAACTTTGCCAATCTGATCTGTGTGAGATATAACCTCAGAGGTGCTTTAATGTGCATTTCTTGAATTATTAGTCATTTGGAGCACCTTTTAATATGGCTATACGTAGCTTGGATCTCTTCCCTGAAGAAGTAACTGCCTTCATATTCTTTTAGAAATTGGCCTGTTTTTCCCTTTTCAAGTAGTTTTTTTTAATTTACAACCATAGGCTGAAATTTCTTTCCCTTGAGTTATTTGAATTTCTTTTCTATATTAACTTAAACCCCCAGGTTAATGCACCATCATATGCAAGTATAAAGCCAATCAAAAGTGTATCTGCTGTATTCAATCAATAATCAATTAATTAAGCACTTATTAAGTACCTACTATGTGCCAGGCACTCTGCAAAGCCCTAGAAATATGAAGAGAAATCAAAATATTCCTCTCCCATCTTCCAACTCTATTAGAAACTGAATCTGGCGGCATTAGCTTTCTATGGAGAAAGGGGTTAGTGATAAGGAATATCCAGACATTAACCAAACATCTTCCTTGGTTAATGTTGGTTGGATTGTCAATGATTATGAGAGATGTTGGTCATCAAATCTATCTCTCTACCTCCAGGGGGCATAACTAGCCCAGGCCATGCAGAGAAGAACATCAGTTTTGAAAATACTCAGGAAGGAGATTTTAGCCTCATTCAATGAACCTCTAGCCAAGCTCCCAGACATCTCTACTTATTGCAGTTCTGAGCTGAGATCTTTACTCCAGGGAACAGCCAGAAAGCTATTTCCTGTCCCTCTCCCCTACACCAGACCCATAAGACTCCCTCCTCCTTGGGTCCCAGGTGATGGGACCAAAGCCCACTCATTTTCAGCTATGATAGTTCATTTACTTTTCTTATTTGGAATGTTGCCTACCTTCCAGCAACTCCAAAACCTGAATCTGCCCAGAAGATCCCTAGAGGAAAATCTTGAGAGGGGAGAGCTTGCCACTCTTTTCATGTGAAGAATTAGATTAACATAAGATGTTCTAGAAATGCCAACCTGGGCTTGTTTTTCAGGAGGAAGAAGGAGATTGCTCAGAAGGCTGCAGAAGAGAATGAGAGATATCGGAAAGAGATAGAGCAGTGAGTTTCTTTGGCACTTTGTATGCATGTATGTCCATGTCTCTGTGTGAAGGCAGGCAAGTAGCCTCAGTCAGGTGTTTGAGGAATAGGCATCTGGTTTGAAGGCATAATTGGCCTTGCCTGGTTTCAGTCTGGAGTTAATGGTGCTCTCTGAAAGCCTCACATTTAAAGCTGAGTCTCACTGAAACACTTGATTAGTCAGTGTTGTGGTGGAAAGAGCTTTTGAGCTTAGATTTGTGAGATGTGAATTCAAATTCTAGTTCTACTCCTTGCTACTGGAACAAGTCATTTGCCCCCTCTGAACCTCAGTTTCCTCATCTGTAAAATGGAAGAGTTTGACCGCATGGCTTGTCAGGTCCTTTCCAGGTTTATCCATCCGCTAGTGGAGAACCTGGTTGGCTAGTCTGTTTTAGGATGTGATTTACCTATAGGGTTCCCGTTGACTGGATAATGGGCCAAGTGAAGAAAATTTACTTGGTTCAGAATCATCTCAGACCAGGGACGCTGAAAGAAGAATCTATTTACATGGAATATCCAGTCAGTCATTAGTCAAACCTTTCCTTTGGTTCTTATTGGTTGGATTGTCAACAATCATAAGACATTTTATGTGGGATTGCACCAACCGTTGGTTGGGGAACAGCCAGGCTTACCTGGTGCCCTGCAAAAGGACATTCAGGGGAAGCTGCTATTTCCTGTCTTCTCTGGGACAATTGAGACGGAATTGCTGACCCTAACTCTGGAAGATGGAGGAAAACACCTAAGAGTTTCCCCTCTCAGAATGAGGAGGCAGGTAACTGCATACTAGGGCTAGATGTACTGGCCACCTCTGTCCTGACTGTCCTTAGGACTGTGCTGTGTGCTGGTCACCTGGTTATGGACACAGGGTCATAGTGGGCACTGGAATGGGGACAATTCAAGCACCATGATTCACCCAGTTCCCCTGTGTGCTCAAATCTGCCCCTCACAAGTAGAATCGTAAATGTGGTCCATGCTATACTTTGGGTTTTTAAAGCATTTGTGCCTTAGACTCTCTCTACCATGTCCTGGTCTGACAGTGCTTCTAATCTGGGCATTGGGGGAAAGAGGAAGTATCCCCAAGTTAGAATGAGGGATCCCAAGAAGCAAGGAATGATTTATTTTATCTCTTTTCAAAGAGTCACACTAACCCTCACCTTGATTGGGCAAAAGATCCTCCCACTTATCTTACTAACTTAGAAAGGTGCTAGTTCCTAGGGGCATTAAGCTTCATATTTAAATTTAGAGTTAAAATTACTGACCCTTCTCACCCCAAAATGTGCCACCTCCTAAGAGCAGCTTATGTGATGTTGTCACTTTGCAATTCTTCCCAGATGTTGTATCTCATTACCACATATCTCATTGGAAGATGCTTCAGTAGCTCAACTCCTTTGTGTTTAAGCCCCATATTCCTCATTAGCATGTGTCCCAGATTCAGAACTGGAAGAAAACTTGCAGATCTGCTAGTTAGCTATTCCATTTTACAAATGGGGAAAATGAAACCCAGATAGGCGACATGCCAATGTCATGCAATGAATGATAAAACCAGACATAGAATCCAAGACTCTCTCAATTCCCTTTCCACCACACCATGCTGTCCTAGTTGTCTATAAAAATTCAGTGCCAAAAATATGGCTGTCACAGGGAAGTCAATTCAATTCAATTCAACAGACTTTTATTCAAAGTCCCCACTATGTGCCAGACACTGTGGCAGGTGCTGGGTCTGCAAATACAAGAATGAAACAGCCCTTGCCCTCAAAGAGTTTATATTTTATTGAGTGGATTCAATCTGTCTATAGATAAGTAAATACCAGTACAACATGCTCCTGAGACATGCCTTCTTGAATATAACATAACTTCTCTACCAGTAAAATTTGAGCTAGTTAGAATAGGAGATAGAGTTCTAGGCACAAAGTCAGAAAGACCCAAGTTCAAATCCTACCTCAGACACACAGTACCTAGACAAATCACTAAATCTCTCCCAGTTTCAGAAACTGTTAGAAAAGTTCTGAGGGTGGCATGGTGCTGTGGAAAGGTCAATGCTGTAGAGCCAGAAGATCTGGGTTCAAATTTGACCTTATCTAGAAAATGGGAATAATGGTAGTACCCATTTCTCTGGGTTGTTGTGAGGATAAAATGAGATAATATTTGTAAAGCGTTTTGCAAACCTTAAAGCTCTAAAGAAATGTTAGTTATTGTTATTGTTATTATTTGTAATAGTAGTAGTACTTATCTTTGTATTTGCCTGTGCCCAGCATAGTATATAACAGTGCCTAACAGAAGAAGTTAGAGGTGGAGACTGGAGTTTTGATCCCATTGCCATGAGAGCTCTCAAATGAAGGAACTCCATCTACCAGTGAAGCGCAGCACTTTATTTGAAACTTACAATCTTAGAGGGTTGCCATGGGAGGAACTAAAGGGTTAGGTAACTTGTCTAAGGTCACAATATGTGTCAGTGGTAGAACTGGAACCCAGGTCTTCTGGCTCCATTGCTTACCCCATCCACTATTCCATTCTGCTTCTAATGGCACAGAGTAGGTGCTTAGTCAATGCTGGTTGAATTTGATCGGATCCTTGAAGCTGTGTGTCTAACCCTGATATGGTCAACTCAGTCGTGGTGGGGTTTTGGTCATAACAAACAATTCCCAAAGGGCAGAGCCTGTTGGCCTGCACAGTCAGGCAGGAGAGGAGGATGGGAGGCTCTCAGTTTGCCCAGGTCACCCAGGGTGGTCTTATTGTTCCTTTAGGATCACAGAAGATGAAGAAAGGTTCAAGAAGCAATGGGAAGAAGAATGGGGCTCAAAGGGCCAGCTCGTGATGCCTAAGACCGTCACAGCTGAGGTGCACCCGCCACCACCACGCAAGCCCAAATGTAGGTAACAAGGGAAGCTTGGGCAGGATGGTGGGGAGGAAGGAGGAGAGTCCATTTGTCTCACGTTCCCAAGAAAGGCTTTAGAGAGTCCTTGGGAACAGCCATGGTTTGGCATCACTCACTGATTTCTAGGGATGCCTCTGTTGTTCTCCAGGTCTCTTCTTCCAGGTACTGAAGCAAACTTAGTGTGTTGTTGGACAACATGCCTAAAGCCTCCAGTGTGTGCCAGGCAAGAATGGGGTCCTATGCATCTGCTATCCCACTTTTTATTTTTTTACAAACCTATTCTAGGGTCATTTGCACACTGGTAAGCCATATGGAAAGGAGTGAGGGTGGTAGGAACTGAAGGCAAAGATTCCCAGTTCTCCCCTCCGTAAATGGCACCACAAGGTGGTGGGCTTTAGGGCCCGGTGAGAAATCTTGGCTTCCTTAGTTAGTCATTGTGTCTTCTCTTGTGCAGCTTCTATCATGGGGCTAGAAGTGAACCAAGGAGTAGAACCTTAGAACCTGAGAACCCAAGCAGTAGAAAAGATCTGAGGATGCTATAGAAGGGAAAGGGAAGGGCAGCTAGGTGGCACAGTAGGTAAAACTCTGGCCTTGGAGTCAGGAGGACCTGAGTTCAAATCCGGCCTCAGACACATGACACTTACTAGCTGTGTGACCCTGAGCAAGTCACTTAACCCTGATTGCCTCACCAAAAAAAAAAAAAAGAAGTGAAGGGGAACAAATATTTGTGTAGCACCTACTGTGTGCCAGGCACTAAGTGATTTACAAATATTATCTCACTTGATTTGTTGTGAGGACAATAGGTGCAAGGTAGAGGCTGTTATTATCTCCATTTTCCGATTGAGGAAACTGAGGCAAACAGGTTTAGTGACTTGCCCAAGGATCACATAACCAGAAAGTGACTGAAGCCAGATTTGAACTCAGGTCTTCCTGACTCCAAGCCCAGCTCTCTATCCATTGCACCACCTAGCAGTCTAGAAAGAGCATTAGCCCTGGAGCCCTAGAATTCAAATCTGAATTCGGACAACCTGTGTGACCTTGGGCAAGTCAGTGCATCTCACTGGGCCTCAGTTTCTTCATCTGCAAAATGAAGGGGTTGAACCTGATGGTCTGTCTCTAAGGTCCCTTCTATCTCTAGGTCTTTAATATTATGCTCTCTTAAGTGCATGGTCATCCATAGCACAGTGTTTTCATGATGGAGGAGATACCTAGTACCTAGAAAAATGTTTGTTCCTAAAGGTCTGTCTAGCTTCCTATTCACATGTGGGTCTTCCCTCTGTGTCTGTCCTTAGCCCTCAATTTGGCTTTAGCTCTGCCCTATCCACTATAAACTGACCTCACCCGACCTCCAAAGATGAGCAGAACTATCCATATCCACCTCAGGCTAATGCTGGGGTCTCCTTCTATCCCTGTAGTCATTCAGAAAAATCATTCAATGGCATTTCCAGCTCAAAATGGGCTTTTCAGAACTTTGGAGACTAGAAAACAGGAAAGAAAGTTTGGGAGCAAAATGCAACTTTGACTATTGTCAGCTTTGTAGAAATCTTCCAAGACTGCTGGCAGTGGTTTTATTCTTATCCCACAGCTATGAATAATGTTATTTTTAGTTGTCATGGGAAAATCCCAGCCTTCTACAGACTCAGTGCCCTCCTTGGGGCCTGGTGTGAGCTTGGCCCCAGGAGCTTGGGTTGTGCGTCTCTAAGACAGCGTCTGCCCATGTGAAATGCTGCGTAAGGCTCTCCCCTGACCCTAAAGTATAGCCCAACCCTTTAGAGTCCACTGTCTCACAGGTGCATGACAGTGAGGACTGAGGAGGGCTGTAATGGACTGTAGAAGACCATAGCATAGAGCCTTCTGATAATGGATTGACTTCATCTCCGAAAGACAAAAACTCTATTCACAAGCCCTACACCCAACGCTGTTTGATATTAGTTGGGAATGTGGCCAGAGATAAGTTTCAGATGAATGACTTGCTCTCAAGACTTAGAGCTAATTTACTTTTATGAGTGAAATAAGAGCTTTAATAGAGAAGAAATCGATTTTAATTGGTTCCCAGGAAGGTAATCCTAGGTCAATTCAGTGCCTTCTTCGAGACAGTCGTGGCTCCCACACAGACTTGCTCTGCCAAGAACCAAATGAAAACCCATTCATTGGCCATTTGTTTGTTTAGATTTTTAACCAAATCAAGCTTTTCTGGGGAAAGGAAAGGAAAGCAGAGTGGTTTTTTGGTTTTAGGTTTTGTTTTGTTTTTTGCTCAGGATAAATGTTTTCTAGGGCTGTAAACAAGAGTTTCAGCAGCTGCTTCCTGCAGATTGCCGATGTGAGCTAAGATACCATGCCCAGCCATCCATCTCCAAGAACATCACCCACTTAACTCCAGCTTGACAATAATTCAGGAAATGTAGTCACCCAACTGGGCCCACTCAGTTCATCCCTTTCTCCTTCCCAACACATTCCGATAAGGCCACAATACCCCCAGCCTTAATCAGAATCGTTGGCCCTGGTCCAGGCTCTGTGAGTGAGCAAAGGCACGTGTGTGTGGGGTGTGCGTGTGTGTGTTTCTGGGGAAAAGCAAGAGTTGTAAGGGATCTGAAACCTAATCGTTGTAGACTGTAAGCATAGAATTTAAACTCTTTAAGGAGAGCAACTATTTCTTTTGTTTCTAATTGTATCCTCATCACCTAGTAAGGTGACTAGCACATAGTATATGCTTAATAACTGTTTGTTGAATGACTGACTGACTGAATGAATGAATGAATGAATGATAAGTTTACTCCTATTTGGGAATTAAGGATGTATATACCATTTTAAGGGCCAACAACAGCTGGAAAGGGGTTTGCTCTCAGCCTCCCCTGAGGTTTTCATAGCTGTCCCCGCCAAGTATCTAACTACCCCCTGTCTGACTCAACAGGAACAAGGACATTTCTAGGGAAAACTGAGTTCCAGCTTCCATTAGGAAGTTTTCCCTTCCCCTGGAGGAAAGATGTTAAGAGAGCCTGGGAGCCCACCTCCTGCCACCAGAGAGGTGACCAAATAAGCCATCTAGGTTGGATGGTGTCTGCTCTCTTCCTGAGGAGCTCTCAGGATGGAGACTCACTCATTTAAGCATCAATTTAAAACCTTATTGGAGGGGCAGCTAGATGGTACAGTGGATAGAGCACTGACCCTGAACTCAGGAGGACCTGAGTTCAAATCCGGCCTCATGGCAAACACTTGACACTTACTAGCTGTGTGACCTTGGGCATGTAACTTAACCCCAATTGCCTAAAAAAAAAAAGTGTTTAAAAAGAAAAGAAACCTATTGGTTACTAGTGTTGATCTCCCATTATTCACTCCTCCTCATTCCCCCTCTTAATAGCCTCCCCCTCAATATTCTACCTTCTCCTCCAGCCCCCAAGGTTACCCACTCTCTACATGTAGAAAACAACTCAGAGTGCCCCTTAGGGAGAGAGAACCCTTGGGAAAGGGAGATGAAAAAGGTCTGGAGGCCATGGGCAAGTCACTGTAACTCCTCAAGCCTTTGTCTCCTTACCTGTAAAATGAGGAGGCTGGACCAGATGGCCTCCAAATTCCCCTCCAGCTCTTGCTTTATGAATCAGTGTTAATTACACCCACCATCTTCAGATCTCCTCCTATCCTCCAACTCCCAAATTACGGCCCAGAGTCCCAAGCTATTTCTCATGCATCTGGGAACTGTCATCCTCTAAAAACTGATAGAATTTTCTTCTTTACAAGTGGGAAAATAATCTGTGAATGGTTAAAAAAAAAAAAACTTCCATGACCCTGCACTGAATGACCCAGCCTAGAACTAGAACCCTAGATTTTCAGCTCCAATTTCCCATTCCTTAATTCTAACCCCACTGTTCTTTTGGAAACCTGTGCTTGCAACATCCCCTTGGTGCCTGAAGTAGGTTTTCTTCCCTGCACCCTCCAGGCTGCCCTGAACTGTCTCTGGAGTCCATTCCTTCTCATTTCCTTCCTCCTCTGTTTCCCTAGTAGACGAAAAGGGAGTGGAGTCTCCACCACATGCTGACGATGACCTGAACGGAGGGACCAAGAATCAGCGAGTGCAGGTTGGCAGTCCCTGCTTAGCTCCCCACCAGCCTGACGCTAACGCTTACTGCATCTTGCTTCCTCCTGACAGGCAGCTTGGACCCTGGGCCTCGGGGCAGGCAGCGTATACCAACTGGTAATCCAATTCAGTGGCTGCCCGGCCCTGTCGGGCAGACACAGGCAGAGCAGATGATGTGGGGTCCTGCCCGTAAGAAGGTGCAAAGTCCTGGTTGGGTTCGTCATCCTAGGCCATGCTACCTTCCATAACAAGGGGCCTGGGTGCTCTACCTTTTGCAAGCCTGTTTCTCTGGGCAGCAGACAGTGACTGCATGGTCTTTAAACCACTACAGGAAAGTGTCCTTGCACCCCGTGTCCCAGCCCCTTTACTGTACCCTAATTACAATTCTTATTGGTAGTGTCACAGCCAGGGACCATCTGACCAATTTGTAAGTGGCCCTTTACCCCTCAGATCTGACTGTAATCATCGTCCTTTCTTTAAATGTTGAAAAATCACTGTAGGGGAAACCAAGGAACTTTGCCCTGTGGTAGGCAGGACCCTGACCGTTCTCAAATGCATTCATCGACAGTGTGTTGTACAGCCATCTCTCGAATCAATGGCGCATCTGGTGGAGGGCCAGGGAGGGAGTTGTTTTTCTTTTAATCACCCTTTGTATCTGCTGGCTGGTTCTGGTTTAGGAGATGAAACACAAATAATCTTCCAATATTTAGTCTTTGATCTCCTGGCACCTACATCTGATGCCAGCCATAGACAACTGAGCAGGGCTTTGGCCCCACGACAAAGAGCTCTTCAAGTGGTTACACTGGGCCAGGCTTGCAAACCAGATATTTTTAGGTGAGTTCAAGGGCCATAGTCAGAGGCCATGCTTCTGTTTATCTGCTGACACTATGCCCTCTGTTCTTTGTGTTACACATATTTCAAGTTCCCTTGAAAACAAATTTCCAGCAGTTGCCGATGGATGCGTTCCGACCACTCTGGACAACATTCTCTTACCGCCTTGTTCTTTGTTTCTAGCTTTTGGGTGGTTTTATCGGTACGAAGGCAAATTCCCAACCATCAGAAAGGTAGGGGTTGACTGAGAGCCAATTTTGCTGTGAGTTTGGGGCTTTCAAATCAACTTTCTTTTCTCTTTCTTATAAACGGCAACACCCTATGGGTCCACTTTGAACATTCTTCAGAACCCTCCTTCCTCTGAATGGTTTGCTGATGATGGCTGGGGATATCAGTGAGGCTGATGAGGGGTTCATACATAACCATTAATAACTGACATTGCAAAAGTGTGAATTACGTTCATTAAATTAGTATCAGTGTTAATTACGTGGAAGTAGGTGGCATAGTGGAAAGAGTACTGAACTTGGAGCCAGAATTCAATCCTAGCTGTAGGACTTTGGACAAGGCACTTAACCATTCTCAGCCTCAGCTTCTTCATCTGTAAAATAATAGCACTTCACGGGGTGATTGTGAGAATCAACTGAATTAATATATCTAAAGGGTTTTACAAACTTCGAAGTGCTCTATGTCTCTTGACTTATTTTTATTATTGTTTACCCCACTGTTTACCAGGCCTGCATCCTGATAAGAGCAGGGACTGGGTGGCATGTGGGACTCTGGATTTTTTCCTCTGTAGGGCAAGACTGGAAGCAGAGACCAGACTGGAGACAGCCAAAGAGAAATAAATCCTAACTGACAGGCTATAAACTGTAACGGGATCAGGGCTGTGGTAGTCAGGCCAGATTATGGAGACCCAGGGAACTTGTGTGCCAAAGCCAATGCACCGGAGACATCCAAACCTCTGTTTGGGGATATCATATTGAAGGCCCACCCTGAAGCATCTCTCCTGCTATTAATTAAGCCCTTTAATTTTATATCCCAATATTATTGCTCAACATCTGGCTCTTAACATTCTATTGTCCTTTTTCTTTCTTTATTCTTCCAACACCGGATTAGGGAAATGTTTCTGCTAATATCAATGCCACTGAGTCAACATGACTTGGTGTCTGAAAATTGCATCCCAGTGAAAATTAGGGCATGCTTCCTCAAGAAGGCTGCCTTCCAGAAACAGAAGCTCTGGTACCTCAGTGACCCTGAGCAAGTTACACAATATCTCTTCCCCCTGCACCTCAGTTTCCACATCTGCAAAATGGAAATATCATATTTCCTTAAATAATTTTCCTGATTTTTTTTGGCAAGGGGAAGAAAACAAATAATTTACATTTAAAATAAGAATTATTCCAAATCTGGACTAACTAGGGGAAAGAAAGGGATAGTTGAAACCATAGTCCTTGATTCTAGATTATAGACCAAAAGCCTTGATATTCTGTAGCTACAGACAAATGTGGTATACCCTGTCCTAAAGTCTGAGGAAATTCACTGCCTTCCCCTTGGCCTGACATGACTATAAAGTTAAGTCACTGCATTTTCAAATGTACATGCTAGAATTAAACCCTCTAAGAGAATAGTGGTCATTTCAAAGTAGTCTCCTCAAGGGCCGTGCACATATTTCAGCAATGCTGACACTGTTCAAACTATTTCTGGACTCTTCTGGAATTGCCATCAAGGCTCACAGCACATTCTTTTAAATCTCCCTATTGGTAAAAAAAAAAAAAAAAAATACTACTCCTTTTTTTGGTTGGATTTGACCTTTGGAAATGGCCAAAAGTCATTCAGAGCCAGCCAAGTCTGGTGACCCAAAATGGGATTGAGCAATGTAACATCTAGAGATGGAGTTAAAGGTCCCAATGACAACAGAAATGCTTTATGATGGGCACTCAAGAAAATGAAAAGGGGTGATCCTGTCTGGGGTCTAAAACTAAGGGAGCCTATAAAGTGATGTGAGCGGGAGCCACACAAAAACTGAAGAGGGGTATCTAGAAATGTCTGTGACCCCTTTGAGTGAAGTTGTCCTTATGCAGGAAGGAGGAGAGATTAAGGCTGATTCAGACATCTGGGGGACACATCAGCTACCCTTTGTCTGACTCCTCTGACTAACAGTGGGATTTCAGTCCAGTTGCATTTTACTGGCTCAGAACCTGAGCAAGTGCAAGGAAGATGTTCATTTGCAGAATTAGTCAAAATCAGTCACCGGAGCTATTCAAACACAGACTTCATGAGCCCCTATCAGGGATACTGTTATGAGGCAGATGGTTGAAGTAGGTGACCTCTGAGGTCCCTTCCAACTGAGATTCTGTGATCTGCCACCTAGTACCCTCCTCATTTTGGTCCATGCTTCCATCTATACCTCTCCTATAAGCTGTTTCCTTCATCTGTGTGCCGTGGAGTGATCCTGGATTGAACCTATCTTTCCACTCCCCATCAAACCCCTCCTCCCTCTGGAGGTAACTTCACCCACCCTCAGACCCTCTGGGAGAGAAAGCTAGCAACTTTACCATTACTGACTTTATTGGGATTTTTTACTTGCCCCCGATCCCCTACTAAAAATAAAAACTTTGAACCTAACCTTTCTGGGTAAAAACAAGCCCAGGACCTCTCAGCTCTAACTTAGCCTCATTGCTGCTTTTTGCAAATACTCATCCACTAGCTCCAAACCCTTGTTGCTTCAAGTGGAAAAAAAACTTTAAGTTTTTCACTTGAATCCAGGAGAGATAAACTGAGTCCTCAGTGCCAGGAGGGCAGTTCTGTCATACAAATGCAAGTATGTGACTTTGGCCCATTCCATCCTTCTCTTACTGGAGTCAGAAGCTCCTCTTGGCCAAGGTTTGTCAACTGTCCCAAATTTCCTGGGCATCTCCTGGATTTATACCATAGGAAGAACACTGCCTCAGACGTTTACTAGATGTGTAACCCTGGGCAAGTCTTTTAACATCTTTGAGCTTCCTCATCTGTAAAATGAGATGGGGAGGATTAGGCGATCTCCGCCGTCCCTTCCAGCCCTACGTCTCTGGTCTCTGTAACCTCTCTGGCTCCTGCACATTAAGTATTGTTCCTTCTGATAAACCAAGGAGCAGAGGAAGTGACCAGAGCCCTCCCAGAGCTAGGATGTACATGGTCCTTCTAGCCCCTGCTTCCCTACAGCCCTGTGGTCTGTACAAAAGGGAGTGAGCCAAGGGCCAGGCCCTAAATGGCTGCGAGAGTCTGTGCTTGAGGGTTTGGCTGCTGTGTTTGTGGTGATGGCTGCCCTTTTCGAGTGTACACCTCCCTCCTGTGTGCTATGATGTGCTGGTGTACAAACCATACTGCACCCTACCAGAAAGGGAAAGATAAGAAGAAATCTAAGCATGACAGCCTGCAGGAGCTGAGGAAGCACAAGAAGGAAATTGAATTTGAGCAAAAGCTTTATAAGGAGAAGGAAGAGATGCTGGAAAAGGAAAAACAACTGAAGATCAACCGGCTGGCCCAGGAGGTACATGTCTTGCTTTCCAGTGCTGAGCTAGCCCTTCTAGGAGCTAAATTCCTGCACCTCCCCCAGAGCCCAGGTCTGAGGCTATCCCTCCTTGGAGTTAGTCTAGTACAGGGGTGGGAACCTGTGGCCCTTTGACTGAATCCAAACTTCACAGAACAATTATGTTTTGACTCAGTCAGAGGATGGCACTTGACCACCCAGAGGGCCTCATGTGGCCTCGAGGCCACAGATTCCCCACCACTGGTCTAGGATTTGTTCCCCTGAACTGTTCCCAGAATATAAGTCTAGCTACTTCTGTACCTTCTGACTAGAATATAGATCTGAGGTTATCCCACACCTGGCCAAGGTATGGGTCTGAGGTTAGCCCACCTCCCCCCCAAGGCATGCCAGAGCAGAGTTACATAGCAAGTAACCTTTTTCTAGATGGGGTCTAGTGATCTTAGCTCACTCCCCTGGCTCCTGAAAATAATATCAGTCTGCTTCTCATTAAGAGTTCTGGGAACCAAAATGCCAAAGTAGTTAAGTAGAAAGAGCCCTGGATTTGGAGTCAAAGGGACTGTGTTCAAATCCTGACTCTGCTGCTTACTTACTGTGTGACCTTGAGTGTGTCATTTCTATGGTCCTCAGTGTCCTCATCTGTA